CAACCGCGAAAATGGTGAATCTTCCCACACAAGGAAGACACTTATGGGGCCATTTTTGAATGGTAGTTCAGGTTCTGTTGGAACCTACCTTCCGCGAATGGTCAAGTTGGACTTTCCCATGTTCAATGGGGAAGAAGACCCCACTAGTTGGGTATGTAGAGCTGACCAGTTCTTCAAATTTCATCATACACCGGAAGAAGATCGAGTTCCCCTTGCATCGTTCAACTTAGAAGGTGATGCTCAGCTGTGGTACTAGCTGATGAAGGAAGAGGGTGGGATTGCCTCTTGGGATGACTTCAAAAGTAGCCTCCAGGCACGTTACGGCTCAACCCAATTCCAAGATTTTTTTTGGTGATCTCACAAAGCTGCAGCAAACTGGGTCTGTACGAGAATATCATACTCAATTTGAGCGTCTGTTGATACGGGCAGGACGATTAACACCATTACAGCAAGTGGGGTGTTTCATAAGTGGGCTCAAAGAAAGCAGTAAGATAGATGTGCAGGCTTGTCAACCGGCAACTTTGACGGTGGCAATAGGACTCCCCGCCTTTATGAGCATCGTTAACTGAACACTAAGAAGGCAGTGCCTAACGAACCAAGGAAAATCGGCACCAACCAGTCTAGCTCGAGTGGGTCTTTCATGCCAATTAAAAGGCTGTCTCCAGCAGAACTCAACGAACGGCGTGCAAAGGGACTTTGCTTCAATTGCAATGAAAAGTTTGGTCTTGGCCATCGTTGCAATAAGCTATTCCTCATCGAAGGGAGCTGGCCAGACGAAGAAGAGAAGACGGAGGCAGAGACAAACATGGCAAACGAGGTACCTGAAATCTCCCTCAATGCCATTTATGGGGCAAAGGCTCCGCAGACCATGCGTGTTCAAGGAAGTTTGTGCCAACAAAGGGTAACTTTTCTAATTTACTCTGGTAGTGCGCATAATTTTTTGAATAATGTTATTGCACAGAAAATGGGCCTAAATCCTAACAGTAAAGGAAAGTTTTAAGTGGTTGTTGCCAATGGTGAAAAGCTTTCTAGTTCTGGACGCTACAAGGCTGTATGCATGATGCTGTAGAGAATTCCTCTGGTGGTGGATCTCTGTCTGTTACCATTGGAGGGTGTGACGCGGTTCTCAGAGCGCAGTGGCTGAGCACGTTAGGCCCAATCACATGGGATTTTTCCAAATTATGGATGACATTTACTTTGAATGGGAAATGAGTCTCATTACAAGGATTGAAATCAGCTGATAATTAGGTGTTGCATATGTATGAGATTAGCAAGGACATCAAAAAAATGGGAGAAAGAATCTTGTTGCAGATATATTCACTTTCTATGAAAGGCACGCTAGGTAATTCTACACCTGAATTTTCTCCTCAATTTTTTAATAGCCAACTTAGCAAGCTATTACTCTCGTTTGAGGATGTTTTCAAAGAACCACAAGGGCTACCGCCGAAGAGAGCACATGACCACCGGATCCCCTTGAAAGATGGAAGCAATCCTGTTTCTGTATGCCCCTACAGGTACCCATATTATCAGAAAGTTGAGATAGAAAAGATGGTGACTCAGCTATTGAAATCTGGGGTGATAAAACCTAGCAACAACCCCTATTCTTCACCAGTGTTGTTGGTAATAAAACATGACAACTCGTGGAGGATGTGCGTCGACTATAGGGTTCTAAATCAGCAAACAATGAAGGATAAATTCCCCATACCCAATATTGACGAACTTCTGGATGAATTGCATGGGGCCTCCTTTTTCACAAAGCTTGATCTTCGGTTAGCGTACCACCAAATTCGCATGCAACCCGAAGATGTTGAGAAGACCACTTTTGGCACCCATCATGGCCATTATGAATTTCTGGTAATGCCTTTCGGGTTAATGAATGCCCTTTCTACTTTTCAATCTTTGATGAACAATGTTTTAAAAAATTACATACAAGAATTCATATTGGTGTTTTTTTACGACATTTTGATTTATAGCAAGAATTGGGAAGACCATTTGAAGCATATTGGTCTTGTACTGTCTGTTTTATGTGCTAACCAGTTATTTGTAAAAAAAGAAAAGTGTGCTTTTGGGCAGCAGGAAGTGAAGTAGGTGCACCTCATCAGTCAAGATGGTGCGGCCGTGGATCCAAAAAAAATTGTAGCCATGACCAACTGGCCCAAGCCCACAACGTTAAAAGCTCTTTGTGGATTTCTAGGATTAACAGGATATTACCAAAAATTCATTCAAAATTACGGTAAAATTTGCTGCCCCATTAACCAATATGTTAAAAAAAGATAGTTTCAAGTAGGAACATAGTCCGAGGTATTGCTCAAGCAGTCGACAACGGCAATGACGCTAGCCCCATTGCTCGCCTTGCCTGATAATTCATCGTTGAATGTGACGCTTCCGGAGCTAGGATCGGAGGGGTGTTGATGCAAGAGAAGCGACCCATAGCGTTCTATAGCCAGGCTTTACATGGTAGAAATTTGTTTTTATCCACTTATGAAAAGAAATGTTGACTTTGGTTCTTGTAGTACAGAAGTGGCGGCAATATTTACTTGGGCAACAGTTCATCGTAAGGACCGATCACCAGAGCCTAAAATACCTATAGGAACAAAGAATCACCACACCAGCGCAACAAAGGTGGTTGATGAAGCTCGTGGGCTTTGATTTCGTCATTGAGTACAAGAAAGGGAAGGAAAACTTGGTAGCTGATACGTTGTCTCGGGTGGAAGAAAGGGGTGAAAACTTTGCATTAACTACGTCGGTCCCACGTTCGCTCGAGCCAATTAAAAAAGAGGTGAAGGAAAATCCCAAAATACAGGAAATAGTGACATGGGTGGAACAAGGAGAGGCATTGGGTCCATGGAGTTACAAAGAAGGAGTTTTATTAATTAAAAGTAGAATTTTCTAGCTGGCCGGATCTCCTTTAATCTCAACCATTATGGAAGAGTTCCATTCCAGCACACACGAGGGGTTCCACAAAACTCTCAATCGAATAAGTCTATGTTTTACTGGAGTGGAATAAGAAGGGAAATCTGTGATCATATTTGACAATGTGATATGTGCCAGTGTCAGAAATTGGAAAACACGTCACCGGCAGGGCTCCTCCAACCACTCCCAATTCCCCAACAAGTATGGACTGATTTGTCTATGGACTTCATTGATGGCCTTCCGAACTCAAATGGTAAAACTACTATTTTCGTAGTTGTGGAGCGCCTATCCAAAGCCACCCATTTCATTCCAATCTCCCATCCCTATACAACAACATCGGTGGCTCAGATATTTTTTAATCAGGTTTTTAAATTATATGGAATGCCTAAGTCCATTGTTTGTGATAGAGATTTAGTGTTTACAAGTGTTTTTTGGAAAGAACTCTTTGACTTGCAGCGCACCGCTTTCAACTACTCATCAGCCTATCACCTCCAGACCGATGGTCAGACGGAGGTGGTGAATCGTACAATTGAAATGTACCTCAGGTGCTTTTCAAGTGAGAGACCCAAGGAGTGGGCCCGTTGGATTGCGTGGGCTGAATATTGCTACAATACCAACCTACACACCGCCATAAAGAGGACTCCCTACGAGGTGGTCTATGGGCGTGCTCCACCCACGTTATTGTCTTACATTCATGGTATAACTCAAGTGGAGTCAATTGATCGGGAACGCCAAGATCGGGACCAAGTTCTCAAGCAACTACGCGGACAGTTCCCAGAACTGAATGAAGAAAGCCTACGATATTCACCGAACCAGGAAGAACTTCAATGTGGGGGATTTAGTGTATCTACACCTTCAGCCCTATCGCCAATTTTCAGTTGCCCTTCGGAGAAATCTCAAGCTCTCACCATGATATGGTGGACCGTTTGAAGTGATCCAAAAGATAGGACATGTGGCCTACAAACTCTTGTTGCCCAATGGTTCAAAAGTCCATTCTGTATTTCATGTGTCTTGCTTAAAAGAGAAGGTTGGAACAACAACGGTGGTTCAAAAAGATTTGCCAATTGTTCAGGAAGGAGGAGACGGCATGGTACCTCAACTGCAAGCCATTCTCAACCGTCTCATTCGGAAGCATCAAGAGGAAGTCCTGGTGCACTGGAAGAGTCTTGCACCTTCTGAAACCACGTGGGAGAATCTGAAGACGCTTACGTTAAGGTTTCCTGAAAATACCCTTGAAGACAAAGGGGATTTTTAGAGGGAGCGAATGTTACGTTCCCAGGCTTAGTTTATTTTTCAATGAAGTCTCGTGCTTAGCACGAACAACTGTTGTTTAGGTAGCATTGTTCACTTGTATTTAGGAGTCTGTTGCTTAATGTTAGGAGTTGTGGTAGACGGTTTCTAATGGGGTCTCCACGATACGTGTGGGTAGTTGTTATAATGGGTCACATTCCTATTATATAGGGATTGTGGGTAGAATAATCAAGGAGGTGGTAGAGGGTTAGTAGGGGGCTATAAATATCTCATTGTAATGGGGAGAAAGGGGATAATTATCGATATCTTGTGCCCAGCACTTCATGAGGTTTAATTTCCTTCGAAGAAACTACTAATTGTCTCTCTCGTAAATCTCTTCTTATACTTTGCTTGGGTAAAACGTTCCTCCCAAAAGAGGTAAAAGTAAGAACAAAGGGGTACCTCACGAGTTGATATATCTAGCCCAGGATTTTGACGTAAATACTTTGAACGAACAACAACGTCAAACTCACTCAGCAAGTCGAGCCCATAACATGTGCATGAGAAAGAAACCTTGTGAAATTTCGCTGGCATATTTTCGGATGTTCAAATAGCACATTTTCGGATGTTGTCATATTTTCAAATGTTCGGATGTTGGACATTTGAAATTAGCACTTTTGGATGTTACTGCGTAATATGAATGTTAAACTTTTAAGCTATTTTCGGATGTTGAACATTTGAAAAACTTTTCAATTAAAATGTTGAACACCCGAAAAAAGATTAAGTAGTCATTTTTTTAAATTGCGTTAAGAAAGGTCAAAAACGGAAATAACGAAAACGAAGACATTGAGGGTGGAGAAATTATTGAACTTTCTCGCGAAGAAGAGACGCACAGTTCAGCCAAGTGCCCTGGACTCCTCAGTGTTCACACTCTGAACTGGAGTGAAAACTTTTTGCTTGGGTATGAGTAGGACAGCTTAATCTAGAGAGATAGAGGAGGTGGTTGACAGATAGAGCCAGAGGGGAAGTCTATTAGGTTTCGTCCAATGACCGCCAAAACATACTTGCTTCTTCCATGGCCGCCATCTTGTCTTCTCTCTCGCACTTCAAAAAGCATCACCCCCTCTCTCTCACGTCACCTCTGCTCTCTACCCATCACCTCCAAGTAGCCGTTGGATTCAAATCTTCAAAAGTCTATCTCCCTTCCTTGCAATCTCAGCCACCTCTCCAATTTCTCAAGCAAACCCAATTCCTCAATCACAATGAAGAATATGACGATGAAGAAAAAGAAGATGAGGATGAAGAAGAAAAAGAAGACGACAAAGAAAAAGAAAATGATGGAAATGGTGATGATGAAGGAGGTGGAGGTGGCGGTGGCGGTGATGGTAATGTGGTTTCTGATCAGTTCACAAATTGTTATTGCAGAGCTCTGCAAAATTCAATTAGTCTCAGAGAAATTCGAAAGGGAAAAGAGCTCCATGGCTTCATAATTAAGACCTCCGCAAATTCAAACATTCTCCTTTCCAATAATCTGATAACCATGTATCTAAAGTTGGGCCGCTTTTCTGATGCCGATAAGCTTTTTTATTGCCTACCCTCTCCAAATCTTGTCTCATGGACGGCAATGATCACTGGCTATGCCAAGTCTGGGCAAGAATTGAAGGCTCTGAGCCTCTTTTTCAAAATGAGATTCTCAGGTCTTGAACCCAACCAGTTTGGTTTCGTGGGTGTTTTAATAGCTTGTAGCAAAATTTTGGGCTTAGAATTGGGGAAACAGATCCATGGACTAACTCTGAAAATGGGCTTCTTCTCCCATGTCTACGTATGTAATGCATTAATAGATTTTTATGTTAAATGTGGGTCAATAGTGAGCGCGCAACTAGTGTTTGATAAAATGGGTTGTAGAGATTTGGTCTCTTGGAACACTGTGATTTCTGGGTTAGCACAAGGGTCTAAGGCCACATGTGCTTTCAGGTGTTTTCGAGATATGATGGAAGATGGGTTTTTAGCTGATCAATTTTCTCTCTCTACCTTGCTCATGGCTTCAACCAAGGTGTATTCTAGAGAGAGAGGGAAGCAGGTCCATGCTTATGCTCTCAGAGCTGGTTTTGAATCCAGTCTCAGTGTTAATAATGCTTTAATTGGGTTTTACACCAAGTTTGGGAGCATCAAGGAGGCTGCAAATGTCTTTGAGAAGATGGGCAAGAGAGATGTTATCTCTTGGACTGGAATGCTGAGCGGGTATTCTCAACACGGTTTGATAGATATGGCTATGCATCTGTTTAAGAAGATGCCTGAGAAGAATTTAATTTCTTATAATGCTTTAGTAGCTGGTCTTGCACAAAATTGCAGGGGCTATCAAGCTCTGAAGCTATTCATAGAAATGGTAGAAAATGGGATGGAATTGTCTGGTTTCACTTTGACAAGTGTTGCAAATGCTTGTGCAATGGAATCAGCAGTGGAAGGGTGCAAACAAATTCATGGTTTTGTAATGAAGTCTGGTTTTTTGGGTTCTTCTTCTTGCATTGGAGGTGCATTAACTGATATGTATGCCAAGTGTGGGCAAATGGATGATGCTCAAAATCTCTTTGATCGGTTAGAACATCGAGATTCAATCCCTTGGACTTCAATTATGACAGGGTATGCAAGGAATGGCCAGCCGGAGAAGGCCTTGTCGCTCTTCAGCAAGTTATATGATGATGAAGATGATGACGAGAGGGATAAAGAAAGAGGAGATGACGATGGAGAGGGAGATATAGAGAGAGAGTGTGGCTCTTCCATAGATGAAATTGCTTTTGCCACCATCTTGGGTGTTTGTGGGACATTAGGTTTTCACGAAATGGGAAAGCAACTGCACTCTCTAGTTATTAGGAACGGTTTCTCTTCTGATAGAGGAGTTGCCAATGCAATTCTCACCATGTATGGCAAATGTGATAATTTGAAAGACGCAAGGAAGCTCTTCAACCTCATACCTCAACACAATCTTGTGTCTTGGAATGCATTTATATTGCTTTATGTTCTTCATAGACTTGGAGGCCAGGCCCTAACTATTTTTAGAGAGATGGAGATGGGTACAAAGCCAGATGGACTTACCTTTATCTCTCTATTCTCTGCCTGCAAATATCTCACCTCAAACTCTGTAAAAACCTGTTTAAGCCTCTTTGAATCCATGAAAACCAAATACAACATCACCCCAACTGATGAGCATTATGCATCAGTGGTGGATGTTTTAGGCCACTATAATTGCTTCAAAGAAGCTGAAGAATTTGTCAAGAATATGCCAATAAAGCCAAATGCGGCAGTTTGGCGAGCCTTCCTTGCTGCTTCCAAGCTCCACGGCGATATAGAGAGAGAAAGATATGCAACGAAATCCCTCCTTAAGCTTGAGCCTCAAGAACCTGCAGCTTCTATACTGTTAACAAACCTCCATTCGGCTTCTGGGAGGTGGCATTGCTCTGAGAAGATGAGAGAGAAGATGAGAGAGCATGGGCTAAAGAAGTATCCAGCAAGGAGCTGGATAGTTTATCAGAATCAAGTGCATTCTTTCTATGCTCGAGATAGATCACACCCACAAGCCTATGATATTTACAGTGGCTTGGAGATTCTGATCCTAGAGTGCAAAAAAGTGGGATATGTACCCGATACTAGCTTTGTTCTCCATGAAGTAGAGGAGTATCAAAAGGAGCACTTCTTGTTATTCCATAGCTCCAAAATGGCAGTTACCTTTGGGCTCTTAATGACTGATTTTGGGAAGCCTGTGAGGGTTGTGAAAAATATAAGACTATGTGGAGATTGCCATGAATTCATGAAGATTGTGTCCACTGTAACTGGGAGAGAGATTTCTTTGAGAGATACCACTGGCTTCCATTTCTTCAAGGGAGGTGTATGCTCCTGTGGAGATTGCTTGTGATTTGAGTGCTAACATTGATGAATCTCAGAAGCTGAGCTCTGTAACTATATTCCCATAGAATTTTTTTAAATAGGTATCTCTGCAATTCATATTTTGTACTGCAACTTTTACGAGATGCTTCTTGTTGTATATTCATTTTGAAGGTGGATCTCTCTTTCTCTCTCACACACGCACACACAGAAACAAACTGTACAATTTCTTTAAATAAATATAGTAGTCATTATTAAAACAACAAGATCAATTGCTTCCACTAATTGTAGCACCCCTTTCTGTCCTGCTCAGTTAGTCACATATGAAGTACCCAAGGATAGACAAAATCCCGATGATTAATTGTGATTACCAAAACAGCCATATGTATGTTATCCATCATTTGATGCTATCCTTCATTTGATGCTGAAGAATTGAACAAAGTACAAACAACTAGTGGATCTGAAGGGCCTGTTTTTTAAGCCAAGCTACAGCATATCTATGTATGCCAAATAAGCACCAAACATATCGAGAGCACTTCCCACTGTCACATCCACGCGTTCCATGCCTGCGGTTTTTTTATCATTTCCAAATCATCAAGAGTTATACCCCCATCAGCATATGTTACTGTATCTGACAAGAGATTCGAAAATCAGTATCACACTCCTTGCTTTCTTATTTTCGCCTTTTCTTCTTATTCTTTTTCTATTTTTTTTTTATTATTATTTTTTATTTTTATTTTTATTTTTGCCCTTTCCCTTTTTCTTGAGGAAAGGAAGGGGTTTTAAGATTATCCCATGACCAAAGATGTCTATGACTTTTACCAAAGAACAATATCATTAAAAAAATTATTTATTCTAAGTAATTCATAATCATAAGCACTAGCTCTTCATCAATTCCCGGCCCGATTTATGCAGATGCCGATGAATGCAGACACACATACATAGAGGACCGTTTCCCTTGTACATCTATCAATAGACCAGCAAGAAAATCCTGGGGTTTCCTCATCAAGAAGACCGGACTTTATTAGCACATCAGGGTTTCATCATCAAGAAAACCCTATCATCAAGAAAACCCCAGGGTTTCATCATCAAGAAAACCGAACTTTATCAGTACACCGGCAAAAAAACCCCAAGGTTCCCTCATCAAGAAGGCCCCCTATCTGATTTTCATTAACAATAAAGTAAATTACAACTCAAAGGTTTATAGCCCTAGAATAGGGAAGTTGTGCCACATCATGAAGTAATGCAAGAGAAAGAAAAATCTAGTGGTCTAGATCGCCAAACAGTGGCATCAATAAAGCATTGACTTTCTTGGTAAGTAAATCAGCCACCATGTTAGCCTCACATTAAATGTGGGTAAGGGACCAAACATGACCAGAGAGCTTATATCAGCAGTTAACAACATCAATATTTAATGCCCATGGAGCTTTGCATCGATCATGGATTGCATTAACAAATAATAAGGTGTCACTCTTGATCCGCAGGGGACAACATTTGAGCTAGATGGTCAGGTCAACGCCAGCTTGCAAGGATAGAAACCATGTATAGTTATTTGATGTTGTATCAGGGGATTGCCAAATATTGCGATAAAGGATCCATCATCACTTCTAATTATGCCTCCACTGCCTGTCAACCTAGGGTTTTGAAGTGAAATATCATCAGGACTCAATTTGCAATGATTAGGACTAGAAAAATACCATGCAATCGGTATGTGTTGCTTGATTTGATGTTGCCGCCATGTGATTTGGAAGTTGTCAACAATTGCTTTCTCTGATAAATGAAAGGATTAGACTTTGGCGTCCACCATTTCACTAACATGAGAGGTAATCCTCTTGATCAAGTGCTCCCATATGGAAACTTTCTCGTTAAAAAATTCGATGATTTCGTTATACCCATAACATCCAAACTGTGGTAGAAAATAAAGATAGCCACACACTTCTAACTTGAATCTAAAGGCAATCCGGGTCCTGAGCAAGTTTGAAATATATATGTTTGAGTTAATTCTTTTACCGCACCTCGATTGCAACAGATGTCCAAATACACTGCGAGAAATCACAATGGAAAAGCAAATGGCGAATACTATCGGCCCAGATTCAATATGAATCGTTGGGCTCATATATAACTATGAGCTAGTGGGCTAACATCAGCCTTTCCCGATATATATATATATATATATATATATATATATATA